AGACCCCTCCTGCCACACCCACCCATCACATCCTCTCTTTCACAAATCGTTGATAGTTCTCTCTATGTTTCATTTTATATTAACTGTAACTAATAGAAAGTCAAGGTTTTCATCTATCAAATGACTATTGTACAATGTTGAGTTATGAACAGAATATCATTAATTTCAATCACAGTGCAAGATTTGTTCTCGTGAGAAAGTTAACGACTAGCTTAGATGAATTTGTAACGGCTCTTGTCGCAAAGTTAAAAAGCCAGAAAAATTTTGGGAGGTAAGGGAATTTGTCTACTTTTTACATGTTATTAGTTTATTTTCTTTGGTGCATTATTTCATTAAATAAAAAATATTAAATGCATTACTATTAGTACTATAAACAGTTAGGGTTAGCTCTCTTCGAAACCTGACGGCAAGAAAAAAGAAGATTAGTTAAGTATTTTATTTCTTGTTTTTCATATTTACTCTGACTTTATTATTATAAAAGTAACTAAAATCTAAAAATATGGATCTTTTTAAGTTATTTAAGACTAGATTAGGTAAAATAAGTAATAATAATAATAATAATATAATTGAAATGGTTCACAAGGCATGCATGCGAGCAGCTTCTGGGTAATGTAATTCGATAGAGTAACATGACCTGCACATTCTCCGAATGATTTACAACTTTCTATGGAGCAGAAAGTAGTTAGACACAGTTCATAGGGCAATAAAACAATAAAATTTAGTTATAAATAGATGTATAATGTTACGAACTTGGAGCTGCTTAGGATAAACGAGTGTAGTTTCATGTTACAATTTGAAGTCTTTCTAGAAAAAAAAAGTTAATTTAGGTTTATTTTGATTATCTTTTTGGTGGTTACAAGGTCGGTCGAATTGACCGATGCTGTTTTCAGATAGGGTAGAGAAAATAACAGATAAACTAGAAAGTTTTATTGAAGAGAAAAAACTTTTAAAATGCATTTAGGAGGTTTTAGGGAATACACAAAGGAAATTTGTGATTTTTGAGATGACGCAAAGTATTTTTAATTTTAACATGAAAATCATTTTGCACACAGACTATTCATGGACAAATCTACATTTTATTTTATTAAAAATACTTCACTAATATGACTTTTTGTATGTGAAAGACTTTTAATATTAACTGAAAGTTTGCTAAATTTCGTAAAGATATACCCAATATATTGAGAGTTATAAGTATTAAATCTATAAAGACTTCAATTGAGTACAAAAGGTCACGTGACTCAGTCAAATTGACTGACTCCATATTGAGAGTTAAGGAGGCTTTAGTAGTTATGCAAACTATACAATGGACAAAGGTTTCTTTATTAGCCAGATGAACATCACCTTGCACAGACATATCTTGAGTACAAATACTTTCGTAACTCATTTGATTTTTCCATACTCATCCAAGCTGTTTCATTTCACAAAAATGAAACAATAAGTTTCAGTTTTCTCACAATGTTTCTGTGTCAAATTTTTTTTTTTTTTACAGTATCTACTTGATGTTACATAAAACATATGACATTAAATGTAGTACCTGTACATAAAATGTCCCTTTAGCCTGGGCATACATCATCAAAAATGCAAAATCTAGGTTCTGTTTGGTTCTCCATCTGAAATTTAAAACATATCAAGTCAATATTTCATAAAATTTCAAACATTTCTATCATCTAAAAAAATTGTATACAGTTACACTTAACTAAAATTTGTTTCATAACATGTTTATTAACAGATGTATGACAACGTTAATCCACATGATAACGCAAGTTTTTTTTACAAGGGTCATTAACACTTGATAAGTCAAGAGGAAACCTTATTGGACAAAATCTCAAGATAAAATGCAATCTACCAAACGAGAAAAAAAAAAAAATGATATAGATACCCCAAGAGGAAATATAAACTCTCAAGGTGGAGCTGGGGGGGGGGGGGGGGTGTCCTAAGAAGGTAA